TTCACATAATCTTCCATCTAAGAACGCCAAAACGCAGTGCAATGATTCTTTAGTAAGCGAGGCTTCAAACTGTCTATATATATATTTAATTAATTAACGGGCTCACCTGGAAAGAAGAAATTGATTTCGCCTTTGCTCAGTCTGATATGGGAATGAAAGATGAATAAGGAGCTGTTGATGGGGAAATATATATATATACATACTGTACCGTGTAGGAACTGATCGATTAGCAATTAATAAATTATTGACAGCTTCTAATAATTGATCAAAAGTTGGAAATAGGCAGCTTCTTGTTTCTCTCCAAAAATCTCTAGCTTCCAAAATTAGAACTATACGGAGTATTTATGATACTCGTTTCTATCTTAAAATTTACTTTCCATTTTGATTTTGGTGGTCAAATGTTTTGAACTTTCGAATGATACGGAGTATATATGAAGGTATTTAGTAATTAGTGATTTAGTGCCTCTGATTATCGGGTCAATATTTTTCAACTTTGACCGCATGTTACAAAAAAATTTGATTTTTTATAAAAATTTAATATCAATAGATTTATTTTAAAACATAATTTTAAAATACACTTTGTACTATTTTAATTATATATATTTATATTTAATGGTCAAAGTATTGTACTAGAGATAAAAAAAGTTAAATGAGAAGTTAATTTTATGATAAAAAAAGTAGCCCATGTTTATTTATCATTGATTGTGGAGTTATGCTAGATCTATCCTTAAATTTTAAGTTCACGTGTATAATATAAACTTTCTGATAATGCTAGAGATTGTATCTTTTTCTTTCTACTAAGCTCAGCTATGAATTTTTAATATTTTAGAAAAATAAATTCCGGGTCATACCCAATTTAAATTTTCAAAAAGTTGTGTCAAATTATTTGCAATCCATGAACTATTTCAATTTTATATAGATTCAGGTCGATTATGATTTATTTTATTATTTTGGATTTAATTGGATTTAAGAGGTCTATAGATTGTTCTTGTAAATAAACACCGGAAAGTGGAACAACACATGGAGTAAGCGCAGTGGTGGTCGCTAGGGGTGTAAACGGATATTAATCGGATCGGATGTGCCATTACCAAATCCGTATCCGTTTATTTTTGTCGGATATCGAATTCGGATACGGATCTTGACGGATACTGAAAATCAAAACCGTATCCGCATCCGTCGGATATCGGTCGGATATCGGATAAATCCGTATCCGTTTCTAATTTTTAAAATCAAATTAAACAATACTTTAATTTTAAATTAGATTAAAGTCAAACTATTATTAAATCAACAATAA